CCCTCGTCGTCATTATCCTCGCCAACGTCCTTGCCAGATTCGTCCCCTCGCCACCCTTTTCACTGCTCCTCTGCGCCTGTCGCGAACAGAAGACAGTCGAGCGCAGCATGGTCAACCTTTCTGGCGGCGGCTGTTCTACGACTGCGGCGTGGTTGAGCCAGAAACTAACATTCCCACGCATTTCTCGCGGCATCACCAGTCCCGCAGCTTCGTCGACCGGATCGCCGCGTCGGCCTCGCCGCAGCATTTGCTAAAAACGGCGCGCGCAGTCGCGGTTCTCCAGGTCGGCGGCTGCCAGCTCAGTGACCGCGCCGTCCTGGAGTTCAAATGTCAAGCGGAAAGCTCCTTGAACAGGGGGCCCCAGCACACCCCTCCGTTCATCTTCGAGCCTGAGCGCTTCAAACACCACGTTGCCCAGCGCGTTCAAAGCACCTCTTGGAGGCATCGTAGCGTGGCGAGAACATGGGAACCTTGCGAGATCATCATTATGAACGCGGTGGGGGCGACCCAGGGCGAGCTCAGCGACCCAAGGTGCTGAGGACGCCCGTCGTCTCGCGACGAGGTCCATCGCGCGCCGCGCGCGGTCGCAGGACAAACGCCTCGCCGCGAGGCTGGCGGCCACCGCGGAGCTCGGGGGCAGAGCGCCCGAGTTCAAAAGACCGCGGACGCAGAGGCCCACTGCGTCGCCCCCCCGGACCCGCCGGGTTCCGAGACCCGCACGCGGGCGCAAAACGTTGCGCGGGCTGGGCGGCGGCAGCCCGGGGCCGCCGCGCGGCTTCAGCGCCGACGGCAAGCTGGCGGGGCTCGCCCCTTGAGCGCGTCCGCCGCCCGCGAGGTCGCGCGCCCCGCGCAGCGGCCCGCCGCGCGGCGGACAACGCCGACATCGCCTCGTCCTGCCAGATTCGAGGGGGGAAAAAATCACACAGACACAGTTGATCGTCGGCCACCCAGAGAACATGGGAAAAGATGGGAAGTGGGGGGGGGAGACAAAAAACCCGAAAACCTGGAAAAATATGGGGGATCCTGTTACTTGTGTCCTTGGGTTGGGTTATTTGTGTGTCCCAGGGCCCCTTCACAGATGTTCGCATGGCGCAGCCTGGCGGCTTCCAGCAAGCCCGGGGCCCGCAACGCACCGATGAACCCGGATCGGCGCGACGCCCAGAGGACGTCATCAGAGCCATCGTCAAATTTTAGGAGCCGATCTCCCAGTGCACCAAGCTGGGCGAGGCTGCCATCGACGCTTGCCGCGGCGAGCGCATGCCCGATCGACCAGCTCCTGACATCGGAGTGCCGACGCTCATCGAGATGCGCCATGGCATGTCCAAGATCACGGACACCGCACATGGCCTCCCTCCTCCTCCTCCTCCTCCTCCTCCTCCTCCTGCTCTTCCTCCTCCACCTCCTCCTCCTCCTCCTCCTCCTCCTGCTCCTCCTCCTGCCAGATGGGCTCACGCACTCGGCCTGGGCCGCGCACGACGAGCTCTAGGCATGCCTCTGCGACCTGCTACTGCAGATCTTCCGCGGACGACCTGCGCCCCCGTGGCCTCAGCTACAGTCGGGGCGCTGAAGAAGGAGCCCTTCTCGTTGGGGAGGGGCTCCGTGTTCCTTCGTTGTTTCACAGTTTGCCCTAGGTTTTCTTCAGATTCTCAATGGGGGGTCAAAGCTTAACTTATGGAAGAAAGGGGCCTCGTTCCTCATTTGGGGTTCCTTAGGTCAACGCCCCGATTGCACGGCGGCATGGCGATGCTGCCCTCGACGAGACCGACCACGGGACCGCGCCGAGATTTGTAAGGCGCCCGCACGCCCTGAGGCCCCTCCTGAAGAGCAGCGGCAGTAAGATTTCGGCGGCTACCAGCAACGGCAAGCTCAAACAAGCAGCGCAGCAGGAGTTTCACCTTGGCTGCTCTTTCTTCCTTTTAAGACTCTAGATCTTTGAAAACGACGTGCGCACACAAGGCGGCACTAAGGGGCATGATTGGGGGCACTGAGGAGACCATACCTAAAATTCGAAAACTCATGTTGGAAATTCATGGCTTCATCCCGCAGAGGCAGCTCATCAAGCACATTGCGCGGCTGGTTGCGAGATCTAGGACAGCCTCGAATCGGGCCTCTGTTAGGACCGACCGGCCGTGCCTCATCAGCTTTGACATCCAGGCGGCCTTCCCGTCGCATGCGAGGCGGCGGCCGTGGAGAGTGTGTCGCCATTGTATCATCCCAGACGGCTTCATCAACGTCATCCGGGCGTTCTACGAGAGCGGGCCGGTCTTCAGCCGGGTCACTCACCCCCGCGAGCCGATATTCTGGGCGACGGGCAGCGATGCGCAGGGGCCCCGCAGGGGTGCCCGTGATTAGGCACGTTCTGGGCCCTGGCCATGGACCCGCGACTGCGGCGCCTTGACACCGTCCTGGTGGCAAGCGAAGTTGGCGACGCATGCGCGCGCGGACGACATCGGAGCTGTGTTCCCACCTCCCCCTTCCCCCCCTCCTCCTCCTCCTCCTCCTCCTCCTCCTCCTCCTCCTCCTCCTCCTCCTCCTCCTCCTCCTCCTCCTCCTCCTCTTCCTCTTCCTCTTCCTCCTCCTCCTCTTCCTCCTCCTCCTGCTCCTCCTCCTCCTCCGCTTCGAGGCGCCAGTGAACATGCGCCCAGTTTTCGCCGCTGCCGAGCGTCTGGCAGCCCTTGGGCATGATCTCGGACACGATACGGCGGCTGGTTTTTGAGTGGTCAAGGTTCCGGGTCGTGGAATGCGCTCGTTATCTTGGTGTCCTGTTGGGCCCAGAAGTCACAAGCCTTGACCAGTGGAAAGGCGCCGAGCAGACATGGCTAGAACGTACCTGCATCACCCCCTCCACCCGTGTTCCGGCAGATGCCTGCATCCGCTCCTATTCGACGTTCGCTTCGTCTGTCCTGTCCTGCCTCGCCCAGTGTTCTAGGCCCCATCGACTCCACGCTCGATCGCGAGCGTGGTCTGCTGCACCGTGTCCTCCGCCTCCCCCCGACTTCGCTCGGCGGCCCCACCGCTCATTCCCTCACGGCGTGGGTGCCCGGCGAGCGGCACCGGCCGCCAGTTTTGCGGGCAATATGTATGTCTATGTCCACTGCAGTATGGAGTTTCGGGCTCCCTTCCCAAGAAATCCGAGGCGCACTGGATGTGGGTAAATTTGCCCCCTAGAGGCTCGATTGTTATCCATATCCAGTGCGCCTCGGCCTTGTGGCGGCGCTTCCAAGAAAGGCCACGAGGCACTGGATATGGGCATGAGTCTTGCCCGCCAGTTTGAAGCCAGGCCCACTTCTGGCGAACGGGCGGCTTCACAGTGCTGGACTGGGGCCCATGGTTCGAGAAACTTCGATACAGCGCGGAAAGTGCTCGGGGGGCGGCGGCGGCCCTCCGAGGCGAAGGGCCCAACTCGCTCTGGAGGGAACCCGAGGCGACAGTGCGAAGGTGGGCGGGCCGACGCGGTAGGAAGCGCGCCGTGTTTCAAGTTGTCGCGCTCTCGCCTGCTCGCGGCTAGCCACTCCGCGAGTCGTGGATGCACTGCAGTTGCCGCCCCACGGGTTCGAGCCCCGGGGCACGGAGCCATACGCCGATCCGTTCCGACTCAGATGGGTCGGCCTTCCAGCGGACAGGAGACCCTTCGAGCCCGTCCTCGAGGCCTCTACCTCTTCCTCGTTGATCACGTCTCTCTGCCCCAGCAAAAACCCTAATAAGGACGCGCGGTAAGGACGCAAGACCCTTGGAAGCCGAAGTTGGAATTTTTGGGGCGGCGGGCGACAAAAAACCCAAGACGAAACCAACGAAGGACGGAGACGCAAGAGCAAGGAAGAGCAAGGACGCAAGGGTACCCTGAGCAGAGTCGCTCGTCCTTATTGGGGTTTTTGACCAGCTCCATCCATCTCCTCCTTCAGCGCAGATGCGACAAGTGGTCCGGAGCGCTAGCGGCCCCGCCTCTTTCGGAAAATTGCAGCGCTCGCGGCCAGAACTGCAGCAGGTGAGACCCTGACCTCAAAGCCCGCCCAGATGAGGGTTCGCAGCAGGACGATTTTGTGGGCGGGCGGACGACAACACACAGTGTCAAGGTCGAATGCCCTGGGACCTGCCTCTTTGGCTGTCCCCATCGCCCTGGTTCTCTCCTGCACTGCCTCACTTGTCCACGCCACTTCGGGTTCATGTCCCTCGTTCGCTCTCCTCCCCCCTCCGACCCCATAGTTTGCATTAGGCTGGCGCTCCCTGATTTGAAGACCACCCAGTTTTCGCGTGGATCTGCCCACGCGTACACAGTGATGTGCGTCCATTTGTTATAGCAAAGTCCGGCACGCCACATCCCCTCCCCAGATTTTTCTTTGCATACGTCAATTGTTTTCGAGCAGTTCTGGCTGCCATCAGCGTGTAGGAGAGATCTGCACCTGCTGCGTCTCATGCTATTTGCGTTCCTCCTCGTCCTCCTCCTCATCCTCCTCCTTCTCCTCCCTGCTGCTCCCTGCTCAACCTCCTCCTCCTCCTCCTCCTGCTCCGGTGCTGCTCAGACACGTCGAAAACACTTCCTCCTTTTCCTGTTACCCCTCTTCCCGTCTCCCACCCTTCCTTCCCCTCCTCCTCCTCCTCCGCCTCTGCCTCCGCCTTCTCCTCCACTCTCGCCCATCCTCTCCCTCCCCCTCATCCGCGTCAGTGCTCCCCCAGACACACACACACAAGCCGCTCGTCGCGACATCCCCCCCCCTCGTCTTGAACGTCGTCGTCATCGTCGTTCTGGCTCGTCCTCCCCCCGGACGGCTGTCACCCGCCCAGGTGCTGCGTCCTGGCGGAGGACGGGAGCGTCGCGGGCACGAGGCCGTGGGACCGCACGGCCATCTACAGAGCCACGGCGGAGCTGAGGCAGCGCCACGAGGATCGGCCCAGCAGCGTAGAACGATTGGAAATGCGGGCTATGTTTCCTTTTTTAATAAAAGACAGATGTATGTTATATATGATTTGTCTTACTTGTTTTGTTAATAAAGAAGCAAAAAAAACGTATGTGTTCATGGGTTGCGTGTTTAGCTGAAGAGAATGGAAGACTCTGGGCTGGAGCCCGGGCGTGTTCTTGGAGCTGTTTTGCCAAGGAGAGCTTGCACAGCTGGACCTGGCCTGCTGCTTCGGAACACGCCTGGAGTGAAGTTGAGTTTAGCTGAACATGCTCTTAACTCTAGGCAGGGGTGCATACCCTCCTCGTCGTCCTCCTCTGCGGGCCAGAGAGCAACAGATCCCGACTCCGATGCCAAGACATACCGAGTTGGATTTCCCTCCCCTCGACCTGGCCCTTTGGGACATCCTGGGGGATCCTCGTCGCCACAGCTGAATTTCGGGGTCCCCAAACGGGGTCGTGACCACACCGTGCGGTGAGTCGGTGGGGATTCGGGGTCACCGCACGGTTTTGGGACTCGGGTCGTTCTCCGAGGATGTGTCGGGCGACAGGGGCCTCCAGGGTCCCAAGACCGTGCGGTGACGGACCGTGCGGTGAGGTCTTGGGGGATGTCGAGGTCACCGCACGGTCTGTCACCGCACCGTTTCGGGACTCCAGAGAATTCGCTTCGAAATGTTGGTCAGAGCTTCGGGGGGTGTCGGGATCGGTGTGTTGCTCTTGCCCCCTCTTCTCCGCCATCTGCCTTGTCCTCCTGCCCCCAGCCCCCTTCTCCTCCCCAGTCGTGTTTCTCCCTCGTCGTGCTCCTCCTTCCTCCCCTCCTGGGTGCCGCCTCCACAGTCCTCCCCCCGCGCGGCCGCCCTCCCTCTTTCACCCCTGTCCCGGTGCGAATGTGCGCGGTTTTCCCCCAACCCAATCCGGCCAGACCGACCTGTGCTTCCGCCTAGTCCGCGACAAAGAAGTGTTTGCCCTCTTCGTTCTCCTTCCCTTCCTCCTCCTCCTCCTCCTCCTCCTCATCATCATCATCATCATCATCATCATCATCATCATCATCATCATCATTCCTATACTCCTCCTCCTCCTCCCCCTCTTTCTCCTCCTCCTCGTCCCTCTCATCCGGCGCTATCACGAACCCAGTGCCTTCTGACAACCGGCTGTTTGAGAGTCTGGCTTCCCTCGGCAAATGGGTTGTAGCTTGTATCCCCAGTGTTTCCCCCCTCCCCTCCTTTCCGCTTTCCCTTCTCCTCTCAGCAGAATAAGGTGCAAAGTACGTGAACGGGATGGCAGGACAGAGCGTGGACAACAAAAAACAACCGAACCCCCCCAATCCAACCCGAAGGCCCCAATTTGCCCACCTTTCCTAGTGGGGGCAGGCGTCGGGGAACATTGAAAAACACATACGGAACCCGTCCCCCCCCTAAACCCGAAATTGGGGTCTTCGGGTTGGGTTGGGGTGGTCTGGTAGGTAGTCTGAAGGAGGGAACAGGAAGAGGGCAGGGCGCATGTTGAGGCGGGTCTCCTCCTCCTCCTCCTCCTCCTCCTCCTCCTCCTCCTCCTCCTCCTCCGCCTCCTCCGCCTCCTCCTCCTCCTCCTCCTCCGCCTCCTCCTCCTCCTCCTCCTCCTCCCTCCCTCTCCTCCTCCTCCTCCTCCTCCTCCTCCCCTCCTCCTCCTCCTCCTCCTCCTCCTCCTCCATGGCTTCTCCCTCCCGTGCTGGGTGGGCCTCTCGCCCTCGGTGGACCCCAGCCGAGGGCCCGCAAAGAGTGGCGGAAGGAAAGCTAGGCCCATATAACCAGCGGGGGAGCAGCAGGAGGAGGAGGAGGAGGAGGAGGAGGAGGAGGAGGAGGAGCAGGAGCAGGAGCAGGAGCAGGAGCAGGAGCAGGAGCAGGAGCAGCAGCAGGAGCAGGAGCAGGAGCAGGAGCAGGAGCAGGAGCAGGAGCAGGAGAAGCAGCAGGAGCAGGAGGCGGAAGAGGAGGCGGAGGAGGGGGATGAGGAAGAGGAGGAGGAGGAGGAGGAGGAGGAGGAGGAACGCCATCACCCAGGGAGGAGGAGGAGGAGGAGGAGGAGGAGGAGGAGGAGGAGGAGGAGGAGAGCGAGAGTCAAAAGTCGGCGTCCAGGGTTTCCTCAGGTCGTCCTGAGCTGGAAACGGAGCGAAGGGGCATCTTCGAGCGAGAACGGGGCGACAGGGCATTTACCTCGCACTGCTGCGTGTGACACCGGGACGACAAAATGTCGATACATCATCATAACTCTGGGCGGTGGGGTTTACCTCGCACTGGTGCGCGGCAAATCAATGTTTTGACAGCACAACTGAGAACGCACCCTCAGCTTCCGGCCCGTTTACCAACGCCCCGCTTGCAGGGGCTTGGGGTCTATTGTGTTCGCTTTATTGTAGCCGGGGAAACGTAGGAGTCGAGTCCGCCGGAATTCGGATTTGCGATGTTTTTTTCGAGCGCGCCCTGGATTTTGACGGTCCAGTGTTCGTAGGATGTCTGCAACGGGAGCTCGCGCCAATTTTCAAATTGGGTCTCTCCATTTTCATGATGGCCCTGTCAGTCAGTATCGTTTAACCGATCCCCATCCCCATCTCCGTCCCCATCCCGAGCCCCACCATATCATCCCCCCCATGTTGGGGATGTACCCTTCGAAATGTGGCAAAAACTGCTTATATCCCATCTAGAGGGGTAAACCAGCCAGTGGGACCCAGGCCACGCGAGTGGGGATACGGATCGGTTAAACGATGCTCAGTCAGGCCAGCCCGAGTCCCCCGAACCCGAGTCGTCCGTCTTCCCTATGTAGCCGCCTGGATCCCCGAGAAGCATTCCCGAGCGTCAGGAAAGCACCGACCTTTGGAGGGCACGCACGCGTCTCGGGCCTCTTGGGAAGGCGAGACACGTTCGGCACTTCGCAGGCGCGTCGGAGAATCACTGTTTCGACGGTGATCTGGGTGCTCGAAAGTCTGTCTGGGATGTGGTCCGTCAGTCAGGAGGGAAAATTACGCTACCGAGGAACCCCATATACCTATTTTATTTCCTATGTATACCATCGGTGCTTCTGCTGCTGCTCCTCCTTCTCCTCCTCGGTGTCCTCCTCCTGCTGCTGCTTCTGCTGCTGCTGCTGCTTCTGCTGCTGCTGCTGCGTCTGCTGCTGCAGCTGCTGCTGCTGCTGCCGCTGCTGCTGCCCCACCTCCCCGTCCTCCTCCTCCTCCTCCTCCTCCTCCTCCTCCTCCTCCTCCTCCTCCTCTACCTCCCCCTCCTACCTCCCAGCGCACCCCCTGTGGCGTCGAGGACATGCCACGCCTGCCACGCCCTGGGAGCCTGCAACGCATAGGGCCCCCACCCCCAGCGCACCCAATGTGGCGTCGAAGGAATGCCACGCCTGCCACGCCCTGGGAGCCTACAACGCATAGGGCCCCCACCCCCAGCGCACCCCCTGTGGCGTCGAAGGAAATGCAACGCCTGCCACGCCCTGGGAGCCTACAGCGCGTAGGGCCCCCACCCCCAGCGCACCCCCTGTGGCGTCGAGGAAATGCCACGCCTGCCACGCCCTGGGAGCCTACAACGCATAGGGCCCCCACCCCCAGCGCACCCCCTGTGGCGTCGAAGGAATGCCCTGTGTGCTGTGCTGTGCTGTGCTGTGCTGTGCTGTGCTGCTGTGCGGTGAGCTGTGCTGTATTGTGCTGTGCTGTGCCGTGCTGTGCTGTGCTGTGCTGTGCTGCACACCCGCTCTGGTGCGAGAAGGAGAATGGGAGGGGGGAGGTGTGAGACGCGGGTGTGGCGCGGCAGGGAAGAAAACCAGAACCCACGAAACATGTGGGGCAACAAAAACACAGACACAATTGATCGTCGACTCCCAGGAACATATAGGAAAATATGGGAAGTGGGGGGGAAGACAGAAACCCAGAAAATGTAGGAAAATAGAGGGAATCTGTTGATTTGTGTGTATTTATTTGTGTGTCCTGGGGCCCCTTCAGTAAATACAGTGGAAACAACATCCAATTGGGTGTGGGGCGGGGCGCACCCACCCCCACTTGCCCCTTGATCGCCGACAGGGAGCCCAATGGCCCCCCAGCAAGCCCAGGACGCACGTCCTTCGCATCGCCAGCCGTCGGTCGAGGAGGAAATCCGGCCCGACCCCCCGGATCCTCGGGGAAGACGCAAGGCTCGACTTCGCCGGAGTGTTGGTTTGTCTGCGCTGTCTCCAGCGGGCCCCTCCTGGCTGTTGAGGGTCCAGTTTTCATCGGACGTTTGCAGCGGGAGCTCGCGTCAAATGTCAGACTGGAGTTCGTCATGTTCCTGACGGCCCCCCTTTGAGGCTAGCCCGAGTCCTCCGAAGTCGAGTCTGACGTCGCCCCGAAGTTCGCGTGCGTCGAGAGGGGGGGCAAGTTGCGACAGCGGTCGTTGGCCTTACGGGGGGGGGGGAGGGGAGGGTCCGGGGCTCATCGCGACGGCTGGACGCAGCTCGGAGAATGGGTGCGTCCAGGCCCAGGAAGGGTCCAGGGGCCGAGGTCAGGTTGCCGTTGTCCGCTGTCTCCAGAGTCGTGCTGCTCCGAGTGTGCTGGGCGGTCCTGCGCGTTTGCCGAGCAGTGCTCGTCATGCTCGTGGGCAGCCTCGGCGCCTCCTCCTCCTCCTCCTCCTCCTCCTCCTCCTCCTCCTCCTCCTCCTCCTCCTCCCCCTCCCCTAGTCGTGCTGCTTCGAGTTTGCTGGGCGGCCCTGCGCGTTGGCTGCGCAGCCCTGTCCTGCCCGATTCCCTCTCCCGTCGCGCTCGCTGCGGCCCCTCGTCGGGCGGGGCGAGCATCTGTGAGGGAACGGCGCCTCGGGCGCCCTGCGCGGCGCCGGGGGCAGCGCGGCCGAGCTCGCGACCTCGGCTGCGAGACGAGTCTCCGCAGCTACCGGAAAGTCGGGCCTGTCCCCCTACAGGGGGATTTTCGACGACAAAAAATAACAAAACATAGTCCAAAAATAGTCTGGGGACTGTTCTTTGAGTATTTCTGCTACCTTTTGGGGCATTCGGGGGGTATCTTTTATTTTTCGTCGAAAATCCCCCTGTAAGGGGACAGGCCCGACATAATGCGCGACGAGTCCTCGCAGCTACCGAGGGTGCCCGACGAGGTCGGCACTGGGCCGGGGCGCCGGCGGCCGCGCCGGGGTCGCCCTCCTGCCCGCGCATCGGAACAAAACGGGGTGTTCAGCCCTCTGGTGCTCCGCCGCTCGCCAAGCACGCCTCGCGGTCTGGGACTGCCTCCAGCACAGCCGCCCTGGATGGGCCGATGTTCCACCACTGTAGGAGAGGGAGGAGGAGGAGGAGGAGGAGGAGGAGGAGGAGGAGGAGGAGGAGGAGAAGGACATCCCCATCCTCCCTTCCCCCCTGTCCTACTCATCGCAGTGGTGGTGGAAAGTTGACCCATCAGCCCTCGCTGCTGGAGCTCCACAGCGCAGTGGGCCGCTCTCGGTCGGGCTTCTGCGGGAGGTGCGCCCGGGGTGGCGCCCAGCCGCTCTCGGAGCCCTCGCCAGAGGGTGGACGGCTGCATACCGAAGGCGTGTGCGTGGTCGGTTGCGCGCAGCAGCCTGACTCGTTCACGCATTGCCTCTCCTGCCCGGTCCTGCAGTTCATGGGCGGAGAACGGTATAACATGAATGGTTTCGCCGTCTGGGCCGCCTGTCCCAGGGCGGCTGGAGCTTTCTATCCCTACCGTGGCACGTCAGGGAATATATTTCCCAGCCGCCCTGGGACAGGCGCCCCCGGCGACGGAAAAGGTTATTTGAGCCAGTTTCTCGGCCGATAATTCATTGCCTCCTCTGGTTCCCTGGGCCTCCAACCCCTCCAGAGTGCGATGGCCGCCTGGGGCTCGGCTATCCGCTTGCACTCTTTGTGACAAGCGCGGGAAGTGCCCCCGTGGCGAGGTAGTGAGGGGAAGGCAGAAAGGGAGGGTGGGAGGGAGGGAGGATGTCCTGCCGCAAACCCGAATGGCCCTGCCAGCGGCCTCTCACGGCCGCGCACCGTGAAGCGTACAGTCAACCCGCATAGTAAGGATAGGCAACCTTCCCAGGAGTACCCTTACATCCTTGCCTCCTCGGTCCATCCTTGGCCACTTTCGTTGGGCGCCCCCCGCTCGAAAAGGTTCGAAATGGGCGTCCAAGGCCATTACATGCTTATCGTGCATCCTTATGATACGGGTTGGCTGTAGTGCCCTCGCCTTACAGCCTCGCAAGCAGCAGGAACACAACGAGGATCGCTGGCCGGAGTCACTGGCCAGGGCGGTGTCCGCCGCGCGTGCCTTGCTGTGGCGCCCGCTTGCCCTTCGCAGCCCTGCCTGTGCCGCCTGCGCTGAGCGGCGGCCAAGCTGACGAACGGGCGCAGTGTTGGTTGCGGTCATTCCTCCTCTTCCTCCTCTTCCTCTTCTTTCTCGTCCTCCTCCTCCCCCCTTCTCCTCCCTCATCCTGCGCCTTCTTCCTTCTCCACATCCTCCTCCTCCTTCTCCTCGTCCGCATCTCTCCTCATCATCATTCCTCATTCCTCTCCTCCTTGTCCTCCTCATCCTCGTCACCATCATCATCATCATCATCATCATCATCATCATCATCATCATCATCATCATCATCATCATCATCATCATCATCGTCATCATCGTCATCATCATCATCATCATCGTCATCATCATCATCATCATCATCATCATCATCACCATTATCAACATCAACACCAACAACAGCTTCCTCATCAGCCTCATCAACACAATAATCACCAACATCATCATCAGCAGCACCACCATCATCAGGAAGATCATCATGACCCGAATCAGCATGATGGTAATCAACATATGCATAATCAGCATCATGCACGTTACCATCCCCCTGTGCATCACCCTTCCCTCCTCCAGTTCTCCACCCTTCCAAACATCCCCCCCTCCTTCCCTCCCCCCACGCTCCGTCCTCGATGTCGAGGAGGCGGGCATGACCGCGCGCAGCGCGTCGTGCCACCGCGAGGTGCGGTCGTCCATCCGAGAGGACGCAGTCGGGAAAGCCCCCGCGCTGCTACGACGACGACCAGGATGACAGCGGATGCCACGACGACGATGACGAACGCCGGACGACGACGCCGACGAGGATTCGGTCGAGAACGCCACTGCGTTGCACTTTCCCCTGTCGATGCTGTGCATGCTCCTCTACACCCAGCACGAGGCGGACCTGGACCGGACGCTGCTGTTCCCCGACTGCCCGACAGTCAGGCCGCCTCCCCATCAGAGTGGGAGGGGCAGAAAAAAGAGGAGGACGACGGCAAGGATGGGGAGGGGAGAGGGGGGAGGAGGAGGGCCTCACTCTCCTCTTGCCCCTCCTCCTCCTTGACCTCCCTGGCCTCCATGTCCCAGGGTTCCTCGTCCATTTCGTCATTCCCCTCGTCCTCCCCCTCCTCTCTCCCTCCCTCCCTCCTCCTCCTAGACATCCATCCCTTCTCCTTGAAGGTAGCTCTTCCCCGTCACGCCCCCAGGACGTTTCGATAGGGCGGGGGTGGGCGTTCAGCTCCAGAGTTCACCAGCACGAATGGCATTTTGGCTTGGAAGTCACAACAACTACAAGACTGAGGGGTTAGTTTTCACAGTGGAACTGTCGCCTTCACTCCGCGCACATTCGCTTGAACATCTTGCAGCAGTTACCAGGATGGAGCACAGGTGGTTGTCAACATGCGGCTCTCGCTTTAGCACCAGAGCGAAGGCGGCGTTCAGAATGGTTGCACAAGTCACAGTGCTGGAGGGAGGCGCTTTCAAAGTGGAGCTGTCGCCCGAGCGCCGCGCACATTCGTCTTAAAGTCTGCGGCAGTTGCAAGGAGTGCGTTACAACTTACCCCTGCGCAATGCGGGGCAGGAGTAGCTTGGGAGATTTGACGAGAAAACGGCGACGTGACATGGACGCGCATACTTCTGCGAGCGGCAGTCGGAAGGTTCGCAGGTCCCCAATCAAGGGAAAAGCGATGAGTAACTAAGTGAACCCCTGAGTCACTAAGGAAGACGCAAGGTCCAAAAGGAGACTCAGTGGGCAAGGGGCTTGACATGTCGGCGGGGCAGCAACAACATGACATGGCCGCCCAGGGACGGCGGGGTCCCGCTCAGGTCTGCGCAGTGCCTCACCCCGCTGGACCCACCAGCAGCCTTCGAAAGTGGCGAGCCCACCCGCAGCCCTCGAGAGCGGCGACAGCTTCGCAGATCGCAGCCCCCCCCAGCGACGGCGAGGTCTGCCTCGGGTCCGCGCGGCGCCCCCCTTCCGCTGGGCCCGCCAGCAGCCCTCGAGAGCGGCGGCAGCTTCGCAGGTCGCAGCCCCCCTTGCGACGGCGAAGAGAGGGCAGGGCGGCGGCGGGAGGCGGGAGGAGAAGGAGGGCGACGCGGCCGCACCGCTCTATGCAAAACGAATACAGTGGGGGCGCGTGCCAAGAAACCAGTGGGATTTTGCCAGGGTGCCCTGGGTTTCTTGTATTTCGATGGGCCCCCAATAAAAGATATTTGGCGATGTTCGATCGACAAATGTGGGCTCTCACCGAACAAATCGCGGATTCCAGGGTTGGGTTTCTTGCGGAGGTTTCTTGTGGCCGAGCCCCCACTGTATTCAAAACGAATGCCCAACCACGGAGTGTTGGAAACAAATGTGGCTCTCGCCTCGGCGCCGATCACATTTGCCCAAATAACTTGCACAGCTCCTCTTCAAACATTGGACCATCGCTCTTCCGCCGCGCACATGTGCCGTCCATGTGCGCATCAACTACACGGATGAGCTACAGTCGGAGCCCTGAAGAAGGAACCCTTTTCGTTGGGGAGGGGCTCCGTGTTCCTTAATTGTTTCGCAGCTTGCCTTAGATTTTCCTGAGGTTTTCGATGCGGAATCGAAGTTTAACTTATGGGGAAAAGGGGCCTCGTTCCTTATTTAGGGTTCCTTAGGTCAACGCCCCGACTGTACGTGGATGGAGGACGGCGTTTGTGTCAAACGGGCTTCCGTTTGAGACCTAAGTCGATCCCAAAGCCAGACATCTGAACACATGAAACAGCTGCATGTATGGAAGGGTGTTCCCTTCCAAAGTGAGTCAGGAGGGGAAACAACACACAGGCACAATTAATCGTCGCCTCCCAGGAAAATATAGGAAAATATGGGAAGTGGGGGGGGAAGACAAAAACCCAGAAAATATGCGAAACTATGGGGAACATGTTTATTAGTGTGTATTTATTTGTGTGTCATGGGGCCCCTTCAGTGAGGCGCTTGCTTGATACTTTTTCAGGAACCATGACGAGAAGCACAAACTTGTTCAACAAGTACACAGGTGGCGACATCCTTTTCTCAAGCGATGATCTCGCTGGACACCCTGCAAGACCATGTGTTCAAAACGGTGACTTCTGCAAAGTAGAAGTGTATGCCCATGCCTTCTCGCAGCCTTCCTTATTCGCTAGTAGGGTACAAGGCAGTTCCTTTTCAAAACAGGGCTCTCGCTTGAATGACAGACCCATCATTAGGGTGCTGGTCGTTCTCCTCCTCCCTCCTCCCTCCTTCTCTCTCCCGCCTTCACCCTGGACCTCCTCGGTCTCGTCGACCTCAGGCAGCCACTGCCCCTCCGGGACGCGGCGTACAGCGCGTACCGCGAGCACTTGCAGAAGTCCCGGGCCGGCCAGCGCAACGCTTGCCCCGACGGCAGCGTTGTCGTCGTCCTCTTGTTGCTGCCTGGTCGTTCTCCGAAATGGATCAGACGACGGTAGTTGGCTTTCGGGGAGCCGCGTCGTCGCCACGGCTGGACGCATCTCGGAAAGCTGTCACGTTTGGACCCCAGGAGTGGTCCAGCGACCGATTTTGAGTTGCCGTTGCCTCAAGCTCCGAACATGCCGACAGCCCATAGTGCATCGTTGTTTCCAGTTGATTTGTTCATGTTGGGCCTCTTCGGACTGTGACGAGTTCATACTCTTCCCTACACTCTTGATTCAAGCGCTGCGCGCATCCCAGCGACCCATATTTATCCGTAAGGGCTTCGCCCCCTGCCCCCGGCCCCTTCTATCAGAATGGGATACATCAGAGTCGCGTCGGTGCGTCTCGGCGCTGATTTGGCGCATCTGGGAACATCATGCGGGGGCGGATGGGAATCATCAGCGCATCTTGAGACATTGGCATTATCGAGGACGCCTACGGCGAATCACCGCCGCCCCCTGCCCCTTTGGAAGCGCCTCTGTGGCCGACAGTTGGGCCAGAGCTTGGCCAAGCTATCGGGCCAGTTGTTCCCCGAGTCGGTTTGGAAAGACTTCGGGGAACGCGTGGGGGAGCAAGAAGAGGAGGAGGGGGAGGATGAGGAAAAAAGCGGAGGAGGAGGAGGCCTCTTGGGCGCCTCTTGGGGCACTCTTGGGGCCTCCTGGGAGCTTCCTGGGGGCGTCTTGGAGGTTTTTTGGTGGCCTTTGGGTGCTTCTTGGGGGCCTCTTTGGCAGTCTTCGGGCGTTCCTGTCTTGTCTGACGCCGTCGGAAGCCGTCTTGGGGGCCTGTTTGGGTCGTCTTGGGGCCCTCTTGGGGCATATCAGGGGTTCTTAGAGGCCATATTGGGCGTCTTGGAGGCCTCTTGGTCCGTTTGGGGGCCCTCTTGGGGCCGTCTAGGGGGCCTTTTAGGCCATCTTGGAGGGGTCTTGGGCAATCTTGGGGGCCTCTTGCGCCCTCTTGCGCCGTCGGAATGCCGAGAAGAAGCAAATGCCAAACTCGTTCAACAACCTTCGGAAAATCACTGATTTTGGCCTCTTCGTGCCCTCCCGGAAGACCTCCTGGACGCCGTTTGGGCCGTCTTGGAGGCCTCTCGGGGGCCTAGTGGCCTTCGGCCCATCCCGCCACCGTGCCTTGGTTGTTTGTCTGAGGCCTCTTGTATATGTGTTGGGGTGTCGTGGGGGGCCTCTCGGGGGCCTCTTGGAGGCGGTCTGGGCGCCTCTTTGGGGTCTCGTGGGGTATCTTTCGGGCCTCTTGGAGGCGTCTTGGGCGCCTCTTGGGGCCTCTTGGGGCCTCGGGATCTTCTCGGGGCTTCTCGGAGCGCTTCTTGGGCCATCTTGGAGCCCCCTTGGGCCGTATTGGGGCCCTCTCGGAGGCGTCTTGGGTTGTCTTGAGGCGATCTTGGGAGCTTCTTGAGCCGTCTTGGAGCGTCGGAAAGCTCCAAATGCGAGAAAGCCCAAATCTTTGAAAACCTGTCAAATAAAGTCAACAATGTGGGCCTCTTGGGACTCTCTCGGGAGGCCTCTTGGAGCGCTCTTGGGACCTCTTGGGGCCCTCTTGGGCAGTCTTGGAACCATCTTCGGACACCTTGGACCAGTATTGGCCTCGGCAATGTGAATACCGCGTAATTTGCGAGGGTTTATGACATCGGGGACGCGAACGTTGCGTAATTTGCGAAGGTTTGTTGCCTCGGGGATGCAACACTTAAATAATTGACGAGGATGTCTGGCCTCGGGGATATAATCTACTAGGAATTCTGGCTTCGGGGACGCGAATATGGCGTGATTTACAAAGGTGTGTTGCCTCGGGGGCGCAAGCAAATGCAGAATCTACAAATGCATATTGATATGGTTTGCGGATTCGGGGACGAGAACTTTGCGTCATTCATAAAGGAATCGGGCTTCGAGGGCGCGAATCTCAGGTAGTTTTACGTGTCGCGCGCCCCCCTGGGAATTCAGGCAACGCGGTTTGGGGGTGGTTAATTGCTGGTTTGGGGCTCCCCCCCTCGAGCGGACATCAACAAACAGTAGGAAGCAGAAATCAGGATTGCAACATTGGAGATTGAAACTGCAACTGGTGCTGGGAGCAGCAACCTGGGTCCACAGCCTGGTGGCCTCACTAGGGGACCAGTGGATCATATCACCGTTGCCGCTTGCTGGTGTGGTCGTGACAATTCGGAGCTAGATGAGTGGCAGGTGTGAAGCAGCTGCTAGGCAGTTGGAGGACAACACTCAGCAGAAGACTTCCCGACCAAAGCTGCACCATGGTAACCGAAAGGACGAGAGTGCAGTCATCATGGAAAACGCGTGTGTTAGTTACGTCATGCCGAGCTCCTTCGTACGATGTCGCTGAGCTCTGGAGATTGTTGGGAGGTCCTGGGCGGTTTCTGGGGGCGTCCTAGGGGCTTGTCGTACCCTTCGGGGTGCTGACTCTCTGGGGCCTCAAGAGCCCTCTTGGAGCCAGTCAAGGCCACACGTGGAACTATCTTGGGCGACTTGGGACCATCTTGAGGCCTCAAAAGTCCACAGTCAAAAATAGTTAAGTTGGTTCAGGAAGTTGACCATCCTCGGGGCATCGTTAGGGCTGTCTTGAACCATCCTGGGCAGCCTTGGGGCCATCTTGCGGCTTTTGGGGGTTGTATTGGGGCCATCCTGGATCCTGCTTCATATGTATCACCAGGCTTGTGCCCTTCTGGTGCTCTATGGGAGCTCTCTGGGGACTCACGGGTTGCTCCCTCTTGGAGCCCTTCCAGCCCCAGCATTCAGATTGGAGCCACATTCGGAGATGTTCAGCCATTTTGACGCCTGAGAAGCCCAATGGAAGCAACACGCCAAGAAAGCCGCACATGATTGAAAATTTGCAGGTGTCAATGTATTTGGGCCTCGAGGGGGCCTCGTGAGGG